CTAGCAAGGAGATCGGGCTGAAACTATAGCTACAAGCTATCCAAGGATGGTACTATAGAATGTCACCTCAAGGTAGGCCTAGTGGCGTCATCTCTTGGTTAGGCCGGAAACTTATCAATCCACCCTCGTATGTAAAAACAAAAAGCACTTGCACACTTTATACTATCACAACTGTTTCTGTAGCAGTCTGCTATTATCAAGAGTAGATGATGCTGATTAAATTCAAACAATTGCAGAGGTTTTCTCAACAAAATAGTGTAAAGATATCGAACTATTTTATATCTTTACTATCAATTTAATTATGTCCTTTGAACATTGAATACTGTCCAAAATAATTAACTCTGAGTTCTCTTAGGCACCCATGAGTGAATACGAAGCAATTTTAATAATCCAAACACACGAAAGAGCACGCCAAGGTCGCGTAAGAACGCAGTTTATGAAGGAGATCAAAATGATGAAGGAGAAAGGTAGGCAAGCGGCTGAAGAAGAGGAAGAAAGAAGAAATCGAACATTTGCTGCCGCAATAAAAATCCAAAAACTATGGAGAGGTTACATGGCAAGAAGACAAACAAAGAGACGGAAATTTCAAGAAATGGTACTAATCGGGATGGTTCCTCAACCTAAACCGGACAGGACTGAGATCAACAAAGCACTAGAAATCGAAGAATATAGAAGAAAATTGCTGGAACTTCGACAAAAGGAGTACGAACATGAGATTAGAGAGATCATGATGGATTTGGAGAAAACCCAAAGAGGAAACGTGTTAGAACAGCTGAATGATCAAGTAAGAAATTGGCTCTTTGAATATAAAACTCATACCGGAAAAATACCAGAATATACAGGTCCAGAGAGGTCCGTATCTCGCCTTATGTTAAGCCGAACAGGTAAGAAACAATTCCCATCTAAATATTTTTCCAAAAAATGGAATTCTTTTGTAGGTACCGAAAGTACTTTAAGTAAATCGTCTTCATCGAAAGAGTCAAAGTCTAAGAAATCGAAAAGCGCCAAAAGTAAAGATAGCAAATCCAACGATGAAGAGGAAGAAGATTCATCCAGAGCCATTGTGTCAACTTTCGTTCCCGAATTAACGATTCGCAAAGAGGAATACGATGAAATATGGAGGCATAAAAACGAATCTGTTAATCCGTATCAACATCCGTATACAGATATAATCCATAACGAACAAATGATTGAAATGGAAAACGAATTAAGAAGAGAAGTTGACGAAACTATGAAGGGTGAATTAGAACTCCTGCAGGTACCTTAATAAAAAAAAAAATGTGTCGAATGGTAGTAAGAACCCTCGTCTTACATCAATTTATTTTATTCTTTTAGGAAGCATATGAAAGAGATAGGGGAAGAAAAACTAGAAAATCGAAAGCAGCTAAGAAAGCCAGACGGGGTGCCAAAAAGAGTAAAAAGAAGAAAGAAAAGGACCTAACACCTGACAGAACTACTGAATCTCTGTTTGAAGAACTCGTGGCTAACGGTATAATTAGAGAGTAAGTAAATACGTAAATAAATATTACTTTGACAAAATACAAAAAAAAAGACAAAAATCGAGCTAGGGCGATCGATGAAGGGCAAGTTGGTAACTTCCCCTCTTTACAGTTAAGTGTAATTTTTGTAAAAAGCAATGGTTTGCAAAATCTACATGGTGTTGGCAATTGAAATTTTGATATTAGGTTAAGGACTTTTTGTAAGGTACTGCAGTACCTAGCGGCGTGGCGTAGAACTAAAGCAAAGGTCGGAAACTGACAAGGTACAGACCATGGAAGGTCAAAAACTGGACCTTCAAAAATTTTTTGAAAGTAAATTACTCATATAAATTATTTAAAAAATGTTTTTCTGTAGATAACAAAGTATGTTTAAGCGCTACCCTTAGTATTTTTGGAGAAAGGAATATGTTTTTTCTGGACTTCGATATGAATTTGCAAAAACCGGACCTTACTTGCCGAATCCTCTAGAGCAGTGGTTTCCAATCTGTGGGGCGTGCCCCCCTACGGGGGCGCGAAACTGTCGCAAGGGGGGGGCTTGCAGCTGTTTCCAAAATATCATTTTCGACGACGACGATTTTCCTACTTAAACAAAGCTTTAGAAATTGTATTGCCATTTGTAACATCTTTTCTATGTGAAACTGGTTTTTCTACAGTAGCTGTCTTAAAAACAAAGTATCGATCTCGCTTAGTGATTGAAAAGGAAGACCACGGTTTGAGAAATTTGCGTTGAAAAACAGGCTCAACCGTCGCATTAAATTGTTATAATGTTGTAATTATTAGAAAAATTAAGGGGGCGCAACAATTTTTTTTTTTTAATGGGGACACAGGTACAAAAAGGTTGGAAACCACTGCTCTAGAGGTTTAGACCACTGCTTAGTATTCGATTCCGGGTCCATCACCCTTCCATTTTTTACGATTCCTTAAAGGAGGCATTAGTAGTTGGTGGAAATGAGACACCCGAAAGTTTTAAAGTATTTTTTATACTACTTGCAATGTGCAAACTTTTAATAATTTTATGCGCAATAGAACAAAGATATAGAAAATATAATTGTTTTGAATTGTTTTTTATACAATATTTTAGATTTCCGGAAGTTTATCTGAACGATTTCCGGGCCGAGAGATCTTTTAGTGAGCCAGCACCCCATAATAAAGGTCGAGAGCCAAAACTGGCCCTAGGAGAAATTCGTCAGGTTGTTAAAGAGTATTGCGTACTCCCCCTATTGTCCCCTCAAATCCATCAACAAACACCACACGTTCGATCAGTACTCCTTGCAGGACCCAAAGGATGTGGCAAGGACATGCTTGTCAACGCCATCTGTAGCGAAACTGGGGCGGTGCTTTTTGATTTGACTCCTGCCAACATTGTGGGAAAATACCCGGGAAAAACCGGACTGATCATGTTAATTCATTTGGTAACCAAAGTATCGAGACTTTTACAACCAGCGGTAATATACATGGACAATGCCGAAAGGCCTTTCGTAAAAAAAGTTCCCAAAGCTGATAAGACTGATCCAAAAAGACTAAAGAAGGATTTGCCAAAAATTGTAAAGAGTAAGTAAAAATCCTTATTCTTGAATTAGATATAGTCAAGGAAATAGGTCAAACCTATTTTTGTAAGGTAAGTTAGATCGAGGTGCGGTTGGTTTTCTGCATTCGATTCGTTAGATCGTCTGAAAACTTTGTACACTTAAAAGATCAATTCATATTCAAAAATGCATCGATGCAGTTTTTTTTTTAAATATTGCAACTCGGTCAATAATAATAGAAATTACACAAAAATGCAGTCGAGGTACCTGGGGCCCAGGACGACCGTCATATACATTGTCTTCAAGAGTTATGTTTTAAATTTATTAAAAATCCATTAAAATTAGTTACTCGGGGCTATTGAGGGTCGCTGAACACGAATATGCAGTCAGCGACGGTCTCCATGGTACCTGGAGCCCAGTGCAACCGTCTTACATGTCGTCTCCAGGAGTTATGTTTTGAATTAATTAAAAATCAATTGAAATTAGTTAGTTGGGGGTTTTGAGGCATATTGGGCCCTTTAGACGGTCGTCACTTTCCCGTTTTTGTGTGTTTCAAAAAGTGCAATCAAGTATTACTTTTCAGATTTCAGTCCAGAGGACAGAGTGATTTTAATTGGTGTCTCAAGTTGCCCGTGGGACAGCGATCAAAAACTTTTACAGCAAGTGTATCAAAAAATTTTAGTTCTACCACGACCCGACTATGCCTCGAGGTATTCTCTTTGGAAACATCTTCTAGGACAATACTCCGCCATCACCTGGCAATTCGATGTGAGTGGAATGAGTAGAATATCGGATGGATACACAGCAGGTAGTTTTTTTTTTTTTCAATAATTATAACCTGTGATCGCACAACACGCAATTTTTCTTTCTTTCGCCTTTTCCTTTTTATGTACAAAAAATAGATAAATATATGCGACTACCATAAATGATAAATCATCATGAAGTCTCGTTGACCTGCGAGTCTATGCGTGCGAGAAAGAAAAAAATTGTTAGAGTTAGAAACAAGTAGGTTTCGATAAAACTTTACATAATAGTTTTAGCAAGTAAATAAACTGTAGCGAGCACGAGTGTGTTTGTGTGCGATCGGGCACACGTGTGCGTGAACGGCTTATCGATTCGCCGACTAACCGCGGGCGCCTTTCTCCATGTGCGCCGTATTTGTAAATGTGTGTGTCGTAACTGCGTTCTGGGAAAGCAGTTAAAAAGTTTAAAGCAAAAAATAAACTATCCGGATGTTTCCAGAAAGTAAACAAAAGAGTATTTAAAAGAAGAGACGATCGCCGAGAAGAGTAAAAATAAATCGACCGTTGCAGAAGTGAATCCAGAAATAAATTGACAGTAATAGCAGTGAAATAAATAGCGCAGTGAATAGTGATATATCAACAGTAGTGTAAATAAATAGAATAATTCATCACCTAAGTTTAGTAATAATTTAATAGTGTTTTAAGTTCCTTAATGATTAGTGTAAATAAATAGTTTTGTCGTTAGCAGTCTTAAAAGTTAATTTTGTTAAACCCACAAATATTACAATATCTCGTAGATATGGCCCATTAATCTTCAAGAGAAGGCATTCGAACCACTCTCATTAATAAGTGAATTGCGATCATCATCATCATCATAATGTCGTCAGTCCTAAGACTGGCTGGACACGTACCTCCACTCTTTCCTATCCTGAGCTAAACTTCGCATTTCCCTAAAAGTAGAACAGCCCACATCCTTAACTATTTTTGAACAGTAATCTGATCTGTGTTTACCTCTACTCCTCCTAACTCCTGTTTCTGCCTCTAATATGTCTCAGAATAGACCTTCATGCCTGAGAAGATGTCCTATCAACCTAATATCTCGACTATTTTTTATTTCCGCCACTGTCGTGTTTATAGAAAAGCCATTTACTAGTAAGGAATATAAGTTTGTTGGGTTTACAATGAGTTCATAAAGAGTATCGTCAAAAAACTGGGAAAAGTATTACAAGGGCGTGCGAAGTTCATTTGGTTGTTCAAAATAAACTTCCACGGGTTGTCTATTATGAAGGAAGTCCGTTTTATTCCATTGATAATTCGGCGTACTTTTCCTTACATTTGGTACATTCAGTCTTAGAGGCTGGTTATCTTCTGGATCCCAACTGGAATCACTATCGAATCAATCTTCTACAGGTAAACCTCGTACATCTTCAGCATTGGACGCACATTCAACAACATCCTTGTCATTAATTTCTTCGTCACTAGAATATTCACCAGTATCTGATATTGAAGGGTCAAGGGAAGGTGTACGAAGATGTTTTCTTCCCGTAAAAAGCCTCGTCCGATGTCTTTCAAAAGTTGCCTGTTGCTTGATTGGCGTAGGATATTATAGTAAGTTACTGTCTTGTGAGATACAACGACTGATTAAGGGTTAAAGGATAGAAATGTGCCTTAGACCTACTTTCGATATCCGGAGTGTTGCCGTTTATTCGGAATTTTTCATCCATTTTTTGACTTGTTTAANTGAAAAACATTAAAAAAACTATTATTTGGCTGCTATATAATCTCTTGCTATTATAAAAAGAAAGAAAAAACATGACAGAAAGAATACTTTGGAAAATTACTAAACAAATTCTGTAATTCTTTAATCCCAGATATATATTAACGTAGCTATGAATGTGACCCTGAAAATAACGCGTATCAGGTGATTTCAATCGAGGAAAGTTTATTATTAATAAACGTCAAGGCGAAGATAGTATAATGATCTTTTCCTTTGGCATTTTTTATTTCCTCTATAAAAATTAAACTATAATATAGAAGAAATATTGATTTGGTCATTTTTGTAGAGCATGAAATTTCCCACAAATACGTCTAGAAGGATTTTTAAGTAAAATTAAAAGTTTAAAAAACGGCCGGGAAAAAAGTAGGACGTCAAATGTCTTCCCTTCATTTTATCACACTGATTCGTTTTTGATGTAGTGAAGTTTTAGGGTAGACAGTAAAAATGAAAAACGAAAAAAAGCCTAGAGCAACCGTCATCATAATAAGGTCGTCAGTCCTAAGACTGGTTGGACGCACCTCCACTCTTTCCTATCCTAATTTAATCTTCGCATTTCCCTAAAAGTAGAACATCCCATATCTTAAGTATTTGCGAACAATAATCAAATCTAGGTCCACCCCTACTCCTGAGAAGGTGTCCTATCAACCTATTTTGCCTATTTTATATTGACATCCATAGAGTCCTCTGTTCTCCTATTCTTTCTAAAACCTCTTCATTTCCAACCTTTTTTATCCACGGTATTCTCATCATTCGCCGATAACACCAAATTTCGAACGCTTTTAACCTTTTCTTTTCCACCACGTCCACCGTCCATGTTTCGCACCCGGACAGCGCCGCGCTCTCAACATACACCTTTAACAATCTTTTTCGAATTTCTAAATTAACCGTTCGAGTGATTTCTTTTTATTGAAGGCGACTCGACCCTACACTATCCCCTGCTTTATATCCCCACTACACCTTCCGTCCTGACTTATCTGACTTTCTAGATACCTAAAATCAGCCACTTCTTTTAATCTTTCGTCTTCTATCTTTACATTCGTTCTTTTCCTACTTCTTCTTCCCTAGTCGAAACCTGAATTAATTCAGCAAAAAAAAATACTTATTAGGTATATCATTTTGTCAAAAAAAGAACTATAAAGATTATAAATTAATAAATAAAAATATGTTGTTGTCGCAAGGGTCACTCTCACCTACATTCTAGTGTAAGACCGGAAACTAGGGCGGAAATCCCTCTTATCTCTTATTTTATCATAGAATGACGGGTTTGCTAGATTGTTGTTAGGGGTAAAATATTACTGTCCCAGGATTTGGCTACCAGGAATCACCTCGGTGGCCTTCCGAATGCTAAGCCATGATCTAGACTTCTAGACCTAGACTACTAGACCATGACGTTCGGTGGGGCCACTACTCATTGCGTCATTGCTCTCCGAAACTGAGTCACGAATCGAAGCATTAAGTATTAATGTACGTTATTGGTAGGGTTGCCATCCGTCCGGGTTTCCCCGGATTTGTCCTAGTTTAGAGGGCATCCGGGGAGCGTCCGGGGGGAGCTTAATTTGTAGTCCGGGTTTAAAAATTTAAAGTCTTGAGTCGTCCGCGACACGCACTGTGCTTGCACACCAAAAATTGTAAGACTGAATACTAGAATGGTAGAACTTTTAAGATTTTCGTTTAAAAATTTAATTAATTTTTTTAGGTTTCATAAGGTTTTGTTTTCATAACAAAGTATATTAATAATTTGTGTTTTATTTTAAGAATAAAAAAAAA